CGGAACCCACAACCTTGTGGTGCATGGGACGACGCTGCAACTAACTGAGCCGCCTGGCCAGGGCGCTTCTACCGCTTCTTTAAGACATGACAGACTTCAGGAGGGAAGAGAGGGAAGAAGGGAGAAAAGAAAGGGAAGAAGCCATGAGAATGATAACGGAGAAATGGAGAATAATAAATGTTTGGTAGAAATCTTAGACATCTCCCTAATAAACACTGGTTTTATTTGTCACATCCAATGGTTTTCCAATCAGTGTGACAGTCAGCGAGGCAGGATGCATGAATCTGACAGCCATGTCACACCCATGCCCAAGCAGTTACTCATAAGAAACAGAAAAGCAGGGACTCACAGTGAGAGTGTGTGTAGGAGAGGCATACCCTCAAAAGAGGCAGCTGATGCTTTTCTGGGAATTTACAATTCTATGATTGTCACATAAGTCCTTTGAAACATGAAATATCTGGAAGAGAATCCTACTGATTGCAATAAATTATCAAATTATTTTAACTGTTACCCCAAGCAAATAAAAAAAAGTATTTTTTTTTAAATGAGGCATTTTAGGTTTTCTCCACTCAAAAAATGAAAAGGAAAAAAAAGGAGGAAAATGCTGAAGCTTTATAATTTCAAGAAAAAAACTGTTTCTTCTTTGAAAAGGGATGTGTATGGAAAAATATGCCTATATCCTTAATTATCTATATACGGCTGTTAAAGCAATCAACTAATGGAAATCCAGTGCCCGTGGTTTGCTGTTAAATGATTAACAACCAGTTTCTGGGGGCAGAGGAGCAGGGACATCTCTGATTTATAGTGTTTTCCAATTTCTGTGGTATATACTTCATCATGGCTGATTTCAAGCTACTCACATGAGGTCACATGTGTAGAGTTAAGATTTTTTACCTTCTCAATATACCTTTCTGTTGATATAATTCTTCTTCACCTTGAACTTGTCATATTCCTGTCCGCCTCACACTAGCTAATATTGCTTACAGAAGACTGTAATGAACTCCTTAACCTGACCTTCAGGGCCCCCACAGGCTGGCCTCAGCCTATGTTTCCAACTTCTGCTTGATTACTTTCCATCACAAATTTGATACTCTTGCCAGACTTGGTCATTCCCCTAATTTGTCTGTATCTTCCTTTGCTCACTCATTCATTTATTCTTTTCCTTCATATACTTTATATGTGGTTTCTATGTGCCAGAAACTTTGCTAGGTGTCAGGCATTAAAGATTTTTAAAATGCATACACTTCTCTGCATTTGTCAAGAATGAGCCCAATATGCATAAAAGCAAGAGGAGATGAAGTTAAAAAAGAAAAATCTTAACTCAGCATTAGCGAGTTTGAACTGAGCATCTTCCATTTTCAATTGAAATAACTCTGACTGATACACCTGCCACATTAAGAACTCTGCTGTACATGGTAAAGTAATGGGAGCTACAGAGAAATTTTAAAATGCAGAATGTTTTTAAATGGATCAAAAATTTTTAAAAGCTCAAATGTGCATTCAAAAAGCAGTTCCCGTGGACTTGAACAGAGGATGAGTTCAAGGGAGACCATTTAGGTACATCTTATGCTGTTCAAGAATTCAGTCCTTCTCCTTAGAGAATTTGTGACTATTTAAATAGTCCACCAAGGCCCAGCTCACCTGGCGCCTCTTCTTCAATGTCTTCTTATCTCGAGCAGATGGCATGAATGGCCCTTTGTTCTGCATTCCTGAAGCACTGCACAGGGACCTTTGACACCAGTAGTTCATCAGAATCACCTGCGGGCTTGTTAGAGGTGGACTGCTGGGCCCCACCCAGAGACCTTCCGATTCAGCAGCTTGGCCTGGTGTCACCCAAGAATTCCAACAAGTTCCGGGTGATGTTCCTGCCACTGCCCTGGGGGCCCCACTCGGAAAACCGCTGCGCTAACACAGTTCACTGCAGCAATATTCTAGATCCTTGAATCATCTGCACCTCACTAGATTAAAAGTTCCTGAAGGCCTTTCTGTTTATCTTTGTGAAACTCTCAGAAGCTAACACAATGTATTAAGCAAAAGTGGTACCTGATATGCATTACCGTATGTGGAAATAAGAGAAACATCTTGCAATAATAAGTTTCCTCACTTAATACCCAGGTTCCCTCAAGCAGAAACAAATGAACCGTGTAACTAGAGGAAAGACTGAAAGGCAGAGCGCATCCTGCCTTCTTTGGGGCTGCCTCATTTTGATTATATCCTCTGGTTTCTTTTAGTCCTTGGACACAAAGGACAGTAATTATTTTCAAATATGAGCAAGCCTGATACACACGATCTCAGAGAAGTTAAGACTATCATTTTTATTTCCTCCGGTGTGTGTTTCTGTTTCTTCTTGATTTAGTTGGTATCTGACAGCCCAAGGGAAAATAAAAACATGTCAGGCATTTCTCATCCCAATATTTAGAAATGCTGATTAAACTAACTTCTTTGTAGTTGTTCTTATGGCAAGACATTCTGTCACTTTAGGCAATGTTGCTTTATAGCTATTTAAAAACACCTAGGAATAAATTTAAATGAAGAGGCGAAAGCTGTAAAGACATTGAATAAGAAACACATAAATGGAAAGATATTCCACACTTATGGACTGGAACAATTAATACTGTTAAAAAGTCCACGCTACCTAAAGCAATCTACAGGTTCAGTGCAATCCATATCAAAATTCCAATGGCTCAGTTGGTTGGGCATTGTCCTGCAAAGCGAAAGGCTGCTGATTCAATTCCTGGTCAGGGCACATGCCTAGGTTGTAAGTCTGTCCCCGGTTGAGGCGTGTATAAGAGGCAACTGATCAACGTTTCTCTCTCACATTGACATTTCTCTCCCTCTCCCTTCTCTCTCCTTCCCCCCTCTCTAAAAATGAATAAAATCTTTTAAAAAATTCCAACTGCATTTTTCACAGGAAAAAAAGGGAAATATTCTATAATTTGTATTGAACCACAAAAGACCCCAAATAGCCAAAGCACTCTTAAGGAAGAAAAACAAAACTGGAGGCATCATGCTTTCTGATTTCAAACTATATAATAAAGCTATATTAATTAAGACAATATGGTATTTTTTTTTAAAGTATGGGTATTGGCATAAAAATAGACACAGAGATCAATGGAACGGAATAGAGAGCCCAGAAGTAAACCCACCCATATATGGTCAATTAATTTACAACAAGGAGTCAAGAATATACAATGGGGAAATAAAAGTCTCTTCAATAGATGGTGCTGGGAAAAGTGGACAGCCACATACAAAAGAATGAAACTGACCAACATTTTACACTATACACAAGAATTAATTCAAAGTGATTTAAAGGCTTAAAACCATCAAACTCTTAGAAGAAAATATGGGCAGTAGGCTCTCTGACATTGGTCTTAGAGGTGACTTTTTGGATTTGACATCAAAATAAAAGGCAACAACAACAAAATATAAACAAGGGAAATAACATCAAATTAAAAAGCTTCTGCATAGCAAAGGAAACCATCAAAACCATCAAGGAAATGAAAAGGCAGCTTAGTGAATGGAAGAAAAATTTGCAAATCATATATCTGATAAAGGGTTAATATACAAAATATATTAAGAACTCACACAACTCAATAGCAAAAGACAAATAATCCAATTAAAAAAGGGACAGAAAATCTCAACAGACATTTTCCTATAGACATAAGATGGCCAACATGTACGTGAAAAGATGGTCAGCATCACTAGTCAGGGAAATGGAAATCAAAACCACAATGGGGTATCACCTCACAGCTGTTAGAATGGCTGTTATCAAAATGTGAACAGATAGGTGTTGCGAGCACGGGGAGAGAAGGGAGCCCTTGAGCACTGTTGGTGGAAATGAAGTTGGTGGAGACACTATATATAGGAAGCAGTATGGAGGTTCCTCAGGAAATTAAAATTAGAACTACCACACGATGCAGCAACCACTTCTGGGCATTTATCTGAGGAAAATGAAAACACTCAAAAAAATATGTGAACTCCCTGTTCACTGCAGCATTATTCACAAAAGCCAAGATACAAAAACAATCTAAGTGTCCACCGACAGATAAATGGATAAAGAAAATGTGGTACACACAAACACACCCCCCTACAATGGAATAGTGTTCAGCCATTAAAAAAAGAGAAAATTCTGCCTTCTGTGACAACATGATGCTTGAGGGCATTATGCTAAGTGAAATAAGTCAAGCAGAGGAAGGCAAATATCATATGATCTCACTTATACATGCAATCTAAAAAACCAAACAAAACCAAAATCACAGATATAGAGCACAAACTGGTGATCACCAGAGGTGAGAGAAGGGTTGGGGGGAGGGGGGCGTTTGCAAAACTGTTGAAGAGAGTCAAAAGGTACAGATACAAACTTCCAGTAAAAGAAATAAGTCCTGGGGATGTAACGTATAGCATAGCAACTATAATTATAACTGCATTGTGGTATTCGAAAGTTGCTACGAGAGTATATCTTAAAAGTTCTCATCACAAGGAAAAATATTCTGTAACTATGCATGGTGATGGATACTAACTAGACTTATTGTGACGATCATTTCATAATATATACAATAATGAATCATTATGTTACATATGTGAAACTAATATATGACAATTATATCTCAATAAAAAATAAAATAATAAAAACACTGGGTTCAAAATTTTTTTTAACCATATCTTTAAATTAGACTTTTGTAAATAAAAGAACAGCATAAAGCCCGCGCTAAACCCTGAGAGATGGCGAAGGCCAGTCTGCATGGACTGCTAAGTGTTCAGATCAGATTTCTCTACTGAAATTGACATCCTCTCTGTTATGCGTGTTGTGGGTAGCTTCCAAAATCAAACATGTCTGGAAACAATAATCTGTGGATACTTAAACCTTTGCCATTGTCTCCACATTGTGGTTCTAGTAGTTAGAACAATCCTTGTAATTTTCACAGCATCTCAAGGTAATGAGGATCAGTTTTAGATGGACATGAATGCAGTGTTTGAGGGGGGCTGCAGCGTGGAATTACCTTAGGCATCCTGTGACATTGTAGAATATGTCAAAATCCAGCACACCGTTCGCTTTGGGGTAGTCTCCTTCTGGCCACCCCGAATAGGGGATGATGATATTTTCAGTCAGGGTAAGCAAGGCTTCGGTTATCATGAGATTCTTGAGTTTGTCACTGGAGGACAAATTCCACAGCAAACCTAGAATTAAAACAGTGCAGGGATGAGTCAAAAGGACGGCTCAAAAAGGTCAGTCAAGGCCATCATGCCCAGGGCTATGGCTAGTTATTTTTTAAAAAGGTGGGGTGGGGAGACAGCCCCTTTCACAGTTGAAAAAACTTGTTTGTAGCTAATTAGATGGCACTGGAAGCAAAAATAAGGAAGGGGGAGGGGAAGAGAGCTTACCATATAAAACCATGCAGGTTTAAATTCATCACGAATGTCAATGAAAGCCAGAGATCCTTCAACATTTATTGCTGTTCTTCTTAAGTTTTTGCCATAAAGCCAGGCCCTGAGACAGTCAATTCTGAGCTCACCAGCAGGGGGGCTTAAAATGACACTGTTGTAACTAAGACTTCAACATTTTCAGTGGGTCATTTTTTTTTTTCCTTACGTACATGAAGAGAGTACCTCCCTGTGCCTCCTGCTCCCCACTACCTGCAATTTCCACCTGACATTTGCCTCCTAATACTCGCAGGAAGGGCTTCCAGAAAGCCTCCAACTTTGCTTTTGCGCGTCAACAGTAGGCTAATCAACATCACCAATTACTCTTCACTGATTCCTACCTAATGATAGATTTTCTCTCTTGGAGTTTATGCTGGCTACCTCATGTATGTCTTACAGCTTGGCAGTGAAGGAGAGACAAAGTGTTTCATCTCTCTGCCAATATGCATGGCCTAAGCATTGGTCTAAGACTGGAACCACATTTACTCACTTAACCTTCCCCTCCCTTTTGAACTCTGCCCCATCCCCACCCCACCCCCATTAAAGAGAAAGGCCACATAAGCCAACTAAGGAAAAAATTAAAATGGGATACTGTACTTTCCAGGGCATTTGTGAGACAGACTGAAGCTGGGTACCGAGAAAAAAATACAAAATGGTATCTACGAGTACATTTAGGATTCACTATTCTTACAAATTTTTCATTCAAATACTGATTCAGTGGAAGAACTACACATCTATAGCTTGCTATTGCAGTGACTCTTAGCAGTGTCAAGCTGCCTGGCCATCTCTCATACCTCAGTGAGTTTCTCTAACTTGCTAGCATCCCAGAAAGGAGAAAGAGTGGGCACAGAAAGAAGGGATCTTCATTTTCTTCCTACTCACTCTCTTACCACCCAGTCAGTAAGTCCTACTTGCTAAATTTACTGCTTTGTCTGTATAATGGAAAGAGAAGCACAGGTATACAGGACGGTCTACTTTATGAAAAAAAGCAAACATGGCAATCTTGGCCGAATTATGTGGTGATATCATCTCCCCTAACTTTAAGGACTGAAATAAGTCTGCACACTTAAAGTGTGGTAGTTATTCAACCATACTTGCTTTTGGCCCATCAACTAGAACACACCAAGCCTAATGAGTCTTTTGTGTTTAAACAGTTTACTTTGGCTGTGTACAAATAACTAATTTCTAAAACCAAATTTCCACCGCAGCCTACGCTTAGCTTCCATTAGCCACAGGGACACTGGGTTTTGTGTCTTGTAAGGACTAGAATTCTGGCTAATGAGGAGGTGCTTTCCTGATCAAACTAGCATTTGGGGTTAGTCATCAGCAGTGCCCCTCAGCAGTGGGTTTTGCAGCACAATGACTTCATTCCTCCCACTTCCTCTTAGAAGCCTTGGAAAGGAGAGAGAATAAAACTCTGAAGGTGGCTGAAAACAATTAAAGGCAGGTCTGAGGCTGAGTTTTGGTTACTAAAGATACAAAAGAAAGTTAAAAAGAAAAGAGAGAAAAGGAAAAAAGCTTCCTGTTCTAAATAAGCAAACAAATTAAGAGTCTCTGTCTGTGGTGTCTGGACTTGGGGGGGTGAACACATGATTCAATATACAGATGATGTGTTGTACAATTGTACACCTGAAATCTATATAATTTTTTATTAACCAATGTCACTCCAATAAATTTAAAAAAAGAGTCTCTGCCTGCCAGAAGCTTAAAAGTGTGAAACATAATGATACTTCCCTTTTCATAAAGGACCACACAGGGCACTCAAAGGAAAGGTACACCTTACAGCAAAAACCAGAGAAGATTAATTTGAACAAAGGGAATGGAATTTTCCTTCAACAGTCAATGTCCTTTATAGCTTGACACGCAGTTATTATTTCTACATTGTTTCTATGGTTTGCAGTGTTTTAGTATTGGATAATTTTTGAATTTTTAACGTAGGATGTTGTATAGAAATGTCATGCCTGACAAATTTCTGTATGACACAAGGCTGGAAAAGAGCTTAAATGTTCACTAGAGATTCAAGATTGTATAAGTACACTTATACACATATGCCCTCACACATCTACATACAAAAATCAATAAATTACCAATTACAAATGTGAAAAATACGCCTGACAAAGACAAAGAGTTAATACCCTTAATATACAGAATTCTTATAAATTATTAAAAATTCAATGACTAGCAGAAAAATTAACTCAAAGCTACAAGATATTTGAGTCTAATCTACCTATCAGGGCTGCATGTTCTCCAGTAACTAAAGAAATGCAAATTCAACAACTAGATACCGTTTTCTGTGACTATGGGAGGTGAAACCAGAACCAATGAGAGGAAATTCTCGGGAAGGAGATTCTGGCTCACTGCAAATATAAATGTCTAAGATAGCACTGAAGAAAACTGAAAAGATGTACTTGTAAGATCCAGCTCTATCACTGGAGCGGATAAAAATGAGCTAAACTTTTACCAAAATATTGATAAGAGGATTTTTATTCCAAAACCAGAGTTTTAGACTAGACTAGTAGTTTCCAAATAAAATTAGCCCAGTGGCAAATCAGAATCACATATTCCTGGGCTACATCCCAAACTGACTGAGCCAAAACCTCAGAATAAATTCCAGGAATTCACGTTTTAAAAATGATTCCCAGCCGGGCCAGGTAGCTAGCTCAGTTGGTTAGAGCATCATCCTGATACACCAAGGTTGTGGGTTTGATCCCTGGTCAGGGCACATACAAGAATCAACCAATGAGTGCATAAATGGGTGGAACAACAGATCAATGTTTCTCTCTCTCTCTCTCTAAAAAAAATAATCAATTAAAAAAAATGATTCCTTTTTCTGGTATTGCGAAACTAATGGACTACATGACCCTGAGTAGATGTCCCTTTCAGTGATCTGATTCTAGAATCCCTGGTATATTTAGAGTTTAGGTTCTCATTTGCTTCACCTTTAACTATTTGTAAATTTATTTTCATAGTGCCTAAATTTCAATTATTATAGTTCTTTGTTGCATCTGGTCTGGCTGCAATTTTCTATCACTAAGCCCTGATTTTAGCCAAAGGAGAAGGAACTGGATTCTGGCAGGAGATATACTTTGAATAATTTGCAGTAATGAGAACTGAATTTTCCCGAAATTTATTGCCAACTGTGCTATTTGCAAAAAACAGCTAACTAGTAAAGGGACCTTATAGATATTAAAACCTGTGTGCCCCCTGGGACTGGAAGTATAGTTACTCAGCTAAGTCTGCATGACACTTAGGTAGCAAAATTTGCAAATTTTATACTTAAATGAATCCTTATCTTTTGTACAGGAGAAGGGGGGCCGGAGGAGAAGGGGAACCGTTTATTTTTAACCTTCTTTTCCAAAGTGATCACAAAGCATGAGGATTTTTTTTTTTAAACAATCTCCTTTGCATGGATATGCTCCTCCTTCCACCTAAATTTTATACATTTTATCTGGAATATCAAATATCACAAAGGCCATTTATTCCACGTTATAAGTAAACCCAAAGTACCTTGCTGCGTATTACAAATGCAGAAAAAAATAGTATGCAGTTATTTCAAGAAAGTGCTTAATTAATATTTTATAGCAAAATATTTTTGATATTTTATGACCATAGAGCAATTCAATTAAATATTTCCATAAAATATGCAAAGGTTAATATGAATTTGCAACAAATTTCATTGATAGTGATCCCCTGGCTCTTCCTTATGCAATACGCAGAAGAGGGACAGGAATCTCCTGCTTCATCCTTTATCACCTGTCTGTTTTCGTCCAACGCACTACACACTACACATTACAGCCAGTGCTCATTACTCAGTGATCCTGAAGATGACCCTCTGAGACTAGTACCATTCTTGTTTCTAAGTGCAGAAAATGCGAAAAAGGTCAGTGAGTTTACACTCTTTACAACAAACAAGGCTCTGATCCTAAACTTAGGCATATAAATGTATAAACTAATAGTTCTTTTAATATCTTGGGCAGAAAAATCAAGTTCTTATCTGAACACATCTGATTCTCTTAATTGTGTATAATCTAAATATTTCCAGGCCACAGGTCTCTTTTTTTATACGTGGTCAGACATCTACAGTTGTTCAGAAATTTACATGAGCACCACAGTTGTTACTACAATAAAGAGACAGGCATTAAATAAGTGGGAACCTAATATTAAAGGATGCAAAGGCAGCTCAGAGAAGCCTCTTCCTTCAAAACTGGGGGGAGGGGCTGAAAGTAAAAAATAGAGGGATGGCATCCGAAAACACTTCAGAGAAGTGGTATCTGAGACAGCTATTGAAGGACGAGAAGGTCCGCTAGGTACAGAAGAAGACACCAGTCCAAGACAAGAGGCGCAAAGATATTGAGACAGAAAGGAAACATGGACCAGACCAGCAGATCCTTTGGGACTTCCAAACTTGGGATGGAAGGGTATGAGAGGAGACCCTGCTGCCAGTGGTCACCAGGCCCGTATGTAAAGGGCAGACTTTATCTTACAGACAATGGGGAGCATAAGGAGACGATATTTTCTTTTTAGAAAGAAATCACTAGCAGAGTGGAGGATAGACTGGGAATGTGCGGTACTGAATCACACAGACGAGGTCTGAGGCTATGGCATGAGCAGACCAGGGAGAGGAAGACGGCTCAAACCAGGCAGTAACAAGGGGAGAGCGAGAGTCAAAGGGGAGTGAGGGAGAGCTCTCTGACCTGAGATTCTCAAGGACCAGCCCCTTCCCAAATATGAGTGAAAACGAAATCCCCTGGCCCCAGGCTGTAGGTGGGAGACACTTTGACAGAGCAAAACACTCAGATGAAACTGGTTCAAATCTGGACTTTGTTCTTTCCTGGCTGTTTAACCTGGGACAATTTACTGCCTTCCCCTGAACCTCACATTGATCAATACGTAAATCATCAATAATGCCGTATTAGAGCCAGCAGGAGGAACAGAGATGAAAAATAAAAAGCCCAAGCTTAGTGGCCAGCACATAATAGGGGCTCCATAAAAAGATGTTTATGAAATAGACAAGAGGAGATTCACATATATGGTTACTCACTTTGTGTTTCTAAACGAAGATATAAATATGTCCACTTAAGTCAACAATTTATTTTTAAGGCCAGGAAAGCACTTACTTAACTTTTCTATTAATAGAGCTAAAGGAAGTTATTTATAAGGATTTGTATCCAACATTCAAGTATCAACTCAAATCAATTAACATGTAATGAACACCCTCTAGTAGGACTGTTTGTCTTGTACTAGAAATCCTGGGACTTACACAATTAACCTCCATTTATCAGCTCTAAAGATGACTGAATGGTTTCTATGGCATCAATACCACACAATGTTCACTCACTTGTTTCCTATTGCCCATACAAAAGAAGAGAACAGGACGCCTGGTTCGATGGATTACTTCCTTGACACACACCCATACATCCTCTCAAGCTTTCCAGCAATCACAGTACCCAATCACTCTTACCCAAGCTTCCTCTAAAGGATCAGTAGCTTCTTTCTGCTTCTTTGCTCTGCTTGTAGCGATGTTCACTTTTCTGGGAATAACTTTCATTCTCCTTTAAAGGTCCACAGTGACAAATATCTCCTTCACAAAGTCTTTTTTGACTGTAAAACATACTCTGATTCTCTCTTGTGGTGCCTCATTATATTTTAATGAAGAAAATGTCAGGTTCTAAAAGTAAGGTTTTTCTTTTTTTTTAATGCCAACCATTACATAATTGTTTGTGGTTTAGTAGCTGGAAAATAAAATCCACAGCTCTCAACTGTGATTTTCACTGCATGGCACTTGCAGGCAGACCTGTACATATTGGCTGAATGAATGAGTGAGTGAGATCCCTTTGTGTTTCTGTAGTTATTTTAATATAACTCATAAATATGAAAGGAACTACTGTATGGGACATGACAGCACGCTGGCAGAAAGGTAGCATGGTACAAGCCTTCAGATAGTTTCATAAAATCAAAATATACCAAGATAGAAAAATCGTTGTATTTCAAGATACAAATGAGAGGATATAAAATTTTTAAAGAAAAAAAGAAAATGGTTGCATAATAAAGTGAGGAGGGCACAGCACAATATAGTCAATTAAAAGCTGTATTAGTTAAGTACCTCCTTTTTAAATAAGTAAGAACACTGTCAACTATTACCATTAAAAAAAGTTTATATTGTAAAAGCATTAATTTCCTTGGGTCTTAGTTTCCTCAGCTGTAAAATTGAGATTTGATACCCAATAATACCTAAAAATACCTCAAAACCCAAAGCTTTTGTTACACTTAAATTTTAAAATGTATGTGTATCACCTGGGACACTGAAGCTCCTTAAAGGTCCCTTAAGACAGTGCTACTGATGACTGCGCTCAGTAGTGCTTGCTGCACCCTGCGGTGGGCAGGCGGCTGGAGCAGAGGGCTGATGGTGACGTGGGGGCGGGGCGGGGGGGGGCCCACATCAATGAACAACCATTTTCTCCTCTATCACACTCACCATTCATTGAAACGGAACTAGGCCTCCCTCTGTGCTTCCAGGATTACTACAACTGTTGCTTTAATTCTATCTATTTAGTCCATATTTTTAATCCATTGGGTAGAAAGGAGACATTTATTTGTTCATATCAGTATTTGAACAGAAGTATAAAGTACAGGACTGAAAAACATACCCAGCTACTCTGGCCTTTTTACAAAGTATGGCCTTTAATACTCAGTAAGCACTACCTGTGATTTGTTTTTTAGTCTCCAAGTCTCTGGTTTGCTTCAGCACCTGCAGCAGCCGAGGTACCCCGTTGAGTTCAGCTACCTCCAACTTGTTGTCATTGTCTTCAAATACCAAGTTTCTCAAGGCCCCACTCACGGCTCTCTGAATATCTTCATTCTGAACTTTTAGGAGCTGCAGAAGCTTGGGGATGCCATGGAGCTGATTGACCTGGGGGAGAAATGGATACACGTTTCAGATATTTATTAATTTTGATGTGACATTAAAGACATTCAGTGAGATATGAATGAACCGATACAGTTGAATATAACTTCCATCAATTGACAACTATGTGTGGCACATCCTGAAACTCACAGTGTATAATATACTCCTGCTATAAGGGGTCTCTCACCTAGGAGCTTACAATAAATTAGGGAAGATAAAATAAAAACCTATGAAAAATTGAATGGGAAAGTTAAGTGATAAAAGGTAGATAAGTGATAGTTAAGTGGACAGAGTCAAGTGATAAAAGGTGGATAAGTGATAGCTAAGTGGACAGAAAGAGTCAAGTGATAAAAGCCTTGAGCATAACAAAGATGAGGAGAACTGGGAACTTGAGGAGTAGGGTAAGTTTTAGGGAAGAGCATCACATTACATGCGTCTTCGAGGACAGAACTTCACAGTCAATATAAACTGAACAGGAATCACCTTCATCAATGGTAGCAATAAAAATTCATTTACCACAGTAACTGTAGTAGCAAAGAAAACCAACCCTAACTGTAAACTATTTTTGCGATCAATTGCTTTAAGTATTTAAAATGATTTATATAAATTATGCAAACATTTTCATTTAACTAAATAACATAACTTTATACTTTTTAATGGACTGTTTTAAAAACATTCCTCCTATACGAATACGCTAGGAGCAGAAGTAGGAATAAGAAGAATACATGGTTTAGATTCTGAAACCCATGGCTGTTTGGGAAAAGGCCAAGTAACAGCACTCTGAGCAAGGTGACTTTGTGTGTTAGGCTGCAAATATTTCAAGAAATCAAGAGATGGGCACTGGCTTGCTGCAGAGAAATGTTAAGTTGCAGACTGAGAGCTTCCTTTCTCAGGCTTCCTTTAGCACCTGATTTAAAATTTAAGTTGGTAAGAACTTTTGGTAAAGATCTCAGTAATTTTCACAATCTTAATGCAGAAATTTTTAGGAAATAAGTTGTGAATGGGCATGAGTTTCCCTTTCAGGTGAAGTTCCTCACCTGTGAATGGCGCCCTAGTTACACAGCAGTTGGCACTCGGTGGAGGGCTGCACACCTGGCCCCGCAGCACATTTTCAGTTTCTATGTAACATCAAACTCTGGCCTCTCTTTCATATAGAGAGTGGGATTTAAGACATAGTCTTCCAGTCTTACATTTTCCCTTGTTAGGATTAAGTCAAGCTTGTAAAGTAATCTAAATAATAACCACAATAATACAACAAAAATAACAACTCCTCCACTTCCATCATTAGAATGTGTCAGTGCAGTGTCAAGAGTTTTATATATATTATCAAACTGATAGGTTGCTAGAACCTTAAGAGGAAAGTACTCTTTCATTCCCTTAAGGCTTTACAGGGGGTAAGGAGGGGTAATCCTCCGACTCACTGGCTCCCTTCCCAGGGGACACTTGCAGAACAGGAGACAACTAGAAGATGGGCCACAGCAATTTTGATGGGCGATGTCTAGAGTCATTCTAATATATAATGTTAATGGTAAAGATTTCATTTCAGAGCTATCGATGCAGTCTGGTCCAACAGATCACCTATTTGATCGCTTCATCTATTCCCATGATTACATTTCCTTAAAAGCAGAAAGGCACAATTTATTTTAAAATAGCCTGGAACTCACATGTTTCCCTAATTCCATCAAATTCTTTTTCATAGCTGGGTTTTAAGGTGGTTAAATTGCCCCCAGAGATGTCATAAACACCAGCGAAGACTAAATCTTCGCCGTAGCAGCATAAACATCAGATGCAGAAAGAAAATGCCATTCGTCCTGCAGGTACTTCGGCAGCTTTAGAAATATTTTATTACGTAATTTTAAGCTGCCGTCTCCAACGTCTGATGTGAAGTGGCTTACTGACCATATTGTATTTCCAGCTGTGACGGCGGCATTAGTGAGAAGTGGCACCTGGAAGCCTCCACTGTCCTGCCCCGGGGGTGCAGATGGCAGGCTTCTGTCTGACCGCCTTCTGACCCGTCCTGTGACCCGTCCTCGTAGCCCGCCGCCTCTTCCCCTTGGCTTTCAGCACTTGCAGACACACCACACTCAGATAAATGCTGAAATCCGACTACAGCTCTACTTTACCGTAGAATTGGACTCCCCAGCGTCTGGCACCTACCCCACATTTAAAAATAGAGTTTAATTACTTTTATCCTTTTTATCCAGCAAATGGATACAAACCATACTAAATGCATGAAGCTGATGACATTTCCTCAGTGGAGAGAACTAGAAGGACACTGGTAAGGAACCCTATATACACTAGCACTAATGTCTCATGTGCTCCTCTTGCCCCTTTAAATTGAGGGCAGCCGCTGCTGGAACCGGAGAGGTTACATCTCTTTCCCAATTAGACTACATCCCCAGGGGATTTGTTCTCCCTTTGGGGAAAGGCAAAAAGAAACAGATCCATATGAATGTCTCAGAACTTCAAAGGAGCTTTCATTTGAGGTGGTTTCTAAATATGTGGCAGGGCAAAATCATATACTAGAATTTTAACTTTCCCTTTGACTGTACTCTGATTCTCTTCCCTGCCAACTCCGGTTTCTGGTGGCAGGTCCGCAGAGGGAGCGGGCATCCTCTGCTGGGATCAGGGCTCCCCGCGACCGGCGCCTTCGCTCTCACTCGCTTGGCTGCTGGGCGGGCTGGGCCCCCTCTGCCTCTCTTCTGGCGGAGCCCTGCTCCTCCCGCAGGAGCCAGCTCGGATGTCACCTCCTCTGTGAAATGTCACCCCCTTTCTCTCCTTTTCCCTCTCTGTAGAATTAATCACTTGCTATACATTGGTAAAAACTTCAGGAAGGCAATGTGGCAATTTATGTCAGAAAGGAAAAATACCCTGTTCTAGAAATCTGTGTTAGGAAGCAATGCGAAATGCAGACACAAGACTAGTAACACACAATGTAACAACGGTAACTACATTATTTATAATAATGAAAAATAAGAAACCATGAATGTCCAACAATGGGGAAGACTGGTTAATGATTAACTGTCACATATCCACATGTTGCGGTGGCCATGGGAGAGGCAGAACAATGTCTGAACTGACAGATATTTTATTAGCCACACAGTTCCCTCACCCATCAGAGGGGCACTGTGTCAAGATTAGCGATTGTGTGCTAGGGGGCAGTGGTTACTCAGCCCGTGGTGGCTGCCACCATCACCACTAATGCACCACTATTGAAATGCTACAAACTATTATTGTTATGAGAAAATGCTTATGATATAATGGTACTGAAAAAAGGCTGAATAAAATGCATGCATTTCTACTCATCAACGCAGACATAAAGAAGGGAATGAGAATAGGGGGTCTGGGAGACATGGTGGGGGTCTAAATTATGAACGGGGCACGCTATTTTGTGTATTTTTAAACAGCAAACATACTTGTGCACACTTTTAAAAATCAACACAAAGAACCCCCACAAACAAAGCCACATATTCAACTGATTACAGCTATGTACACACAGGGTTGGACAAAAGTAGGTTTACAGTTGTAAGTACATGAAACACAGAGTTTACTTTTATATTATTACTTAATTCTTGTGTTGTATATTTTCCATACAAACAACTTTAAATTACTTTTGCCTCACCCTGCATATGCATTAAAAAGTCAGAAAAACAAAACCAAAATGGTAACAATGGTGGGACCATGGGTATGTTCTTTCTTTTTTCTTTCTTAATTTCTCAAATTTCTTATGAATTGGTATTAGTTTTATAATAAGATTTTACAGAACAGTTACGGCAGGTGCAGCTTCTGTGATGAGATCTGAAGTAGGCATAAACATAAAACCCATTTAAGAAGGGTCTTGTGGACTAAATTAAGGCATTTGTTCTTTATCCCACAGGCACCCAGGGCAGCTATTGGAAGGTCTCCTGGAAGCTGTAAGGAGAATCGATTAGGAATGGACAAGAATGGAGGAAGGGGACTAAGTAGGAGGCAGATGGATTAACAGAGATGATGGTGACAGGAATGGGCTGTACCCCTGGGTGAACTACCACTCACTTACAGAGGAAATAACCTCTGAGTTATTTTTCCGGGACAGGCATTGCACCATTATCTGACGGCAATTTCACACCAACTCTTTAGAGAAGGACTATGACTTCTACTTTTTCAGTAGGAAAGCTGAGGCTTGGAGAGGCAAAATATCTTGCTCAAGGTCATCCAGGTAATTAGGGTGCTGGGATTCAAATCCATCCCTGAGTGACTCCTGAACATCAATGCTCAAAGCACATGTCCTACCTCCCAACCCAGGAGGAAGAAAAAGTTCAGAAGGAGGCCTGGATAATGGAGAAGGAAAGCAAAAGAAGATGTATTCATTCTTTGGTAAGCTGATGTTGAGTTTAGTGGGAAGTCTCGGAAATAGATGGACATGTGGTTTGGAACCCAGGGAAGAGATATGCACTGGAGATGCTGTGAGTCATCCGCATCTAGGTCACACATTAATGGAGGCCACAGAAGTGGATGAGACAGGTCAAAAGGTGGTGTAGAATAAGAAAAGTCCCAGCAAGGCATCAAGGAATACTTAAGGGACAGGTAAGCATCAATTTTTTCACAGAGGAAACCTGAAGAAGCCAGAGAAATGGAAAAAGAACCGGGAGACTATGGACCAAAAAAAAAAAAAAAGTTTTAAGAAGGACGGAGGGATTGATAGTATTAAAGCAAAGAGTCCTAATCATATAAAATAAGAACTGAAAAGCTGTCACTGGTTTTAAAAGTTATGACTTAAAATTTTAACCCTTCTGTCCAAATAATAATTGTCTTTTATACATAATTTAAAAACTACAGCATCGTGCTTAATATTAGCAGGATTTTGTTAATGTTTTTGGGTTGTAACATCACAAATCTTAGATTTTCTATTGAGCAAATGTTTTTAGTTTTCAATATAGTTTTCATGTTTCATTATTCTCAAAACTAGCCTTTGTCCTAGCTTTATCACAGATTCTGAGTTAAAACGGCAAGCTTTAATTCTACAT